TTTTTAATACAAAATTATAATACTTGAAATTTCAAATTCATCCTAAAAATCAGTGTATTCATCAAAGTAAGGATATCACAACAAAAGTCCCCCCCCTCCGTATGCACTTCCGTTGTTGGCCCCTTTCCCTTGACCAGCATGCTTTTAAGAAATAAGGTCATTCTTCTCAATTTGAAGCGACAGGTAGACAAATTCCGACAACTAGAACCGAAATCAATCGCGAATCTCTGGACTTATACTTGTTTATTCTCCACAGAGCCGGCCTCGCCCACCCACCCTCATGATAAGTGAACGTTTCATACAAGGGGGTATTTCAATACACCCATGTCATAAGATCTTTGATGGGAGGGACTGATAAAGAAAGATCAAATCATGAATCGTTATCAAATACGACATCTTATGACATTCACCTTCTCGCTTCCATCCGGAAACAAATCCACAGCATCGCCCATATTTATTCCCAACGCTCACGTATAGGGTGACGTTTTAACGACGCCGGGGTTGGTAGGAGATCTAAACCAAGCAACGGTGTCCTAATCGAGAAAGTTTCTGTCTAATCTCAGTCAAAAATAAAACAGCATGCATCACACGTCCAGTAGTTGTTTAGTCCGGGTGTGTTGGCGCAACACTCAGCGTCGCGCCAGGGGGAGTAGACGCCCCGCACCGTTCAACGTCAGTGATACAGATAACAGTGTCGATTAGTGATCAGATCGGATAAATCAAAATTAGCCTGGCAGCTAGACAAAGGCTGAACAACACTCCAGATGTACTCGGCGTTAATTAGCAAGGAAATTATAATAGTGACGCTTCAACACTTGCATATAATCAGCCATAGTATCCCAGTGTGAAATCGAATGGACACACGCTTTAATATGACACATTGAAACTAAAACACGACCACGCAAACTGATCCAGAAACACAGCCGATGATGATGGACGGGATCCGGTCAATTTGGAATTAAAGTTCGGGTTCGATGGTCGGAAAGTGCAGAATGGTATCATGATAGTAGCTTTAATTCACAGTTCGAAATCGACCAAACGAGTAATTGAACCACATTTCATCTTATTTTCATTTATACCAGGACTAAGAAAATCCAGAAGATGACAATTTCGTGAGTTGCTAACAGTTGGTAGTGATATGAGTCTGGTAAACTCGTTATAGTGGTTGAATTTCACGAACAAGAACATCGCTAAACAATACTCGGTAAATAACACTAGTCTCCACCATACGCGTTTGGTAAATTGCTAAACTCGTTATGATATTCTTTACTGAGAAAGTTACACGGCCATTGTATGAAGGAATGTATTAGCTTGACACTTATTTTAATTTCAATTTCAATTTTGATCACTCAAAAAATTAATAAGAAATTGGTCAATCCATCTAATAGCGCTCGATTGGAATGACAATAAACCAGCCATGACTGGAGTTCTGCTTTCATGTTAAATGATTTAAGTGCAAACGTCGAGAGTAAATTACTCGAGAATATCAATCGCACCCTTCCCGACCTAAGGATTCCTGCTCATTCTGAAACACCCACGGAAGGTTACAGTAGAAAATCCACGACCCTGTGCACGCACACTAAAGTAGATATATCAAAGGACTGTCTCAATGGAGCCTGTCTCTAGTCTCCATATCTAAAAAACAACTCGAAATATAATGATTCTAGTTTTCCATTTCTGTGTAACTATTAGAAGGGTTGGGTATGCAATAAATCAATTTATATATGCCACTTGAGTGTCAGTTTTTCGCTTTAAAATAAAACTTGATCTATGGCACCCGCTTGTCAAATAACCTGAACATCCCGACAAACATGAAAACTCTATATAAGTTACAAGTGATGGCGACAGTTTTATACCGACCTCAACTATTGCTGAGCAAACATATACAGTGGAATATGAGACGAGATGTATCAGGCTGCACTCAGTAACAAATTGTCGCTTTCAAGCTCCTTGAAGACCGAGCACTCTCCCCTTAACAGTACAAAAAAGCGTTCATGACTTCTTGCCCAATTTCTTGCATCTTTTCGGGTGTCTGGGTGGACTGCGCTCTTCTCGAGATGCGCCACCTGTCAGAACGGAGGGCTCTGAAGGGGCGATTGTGGCTTAAAACGTTTCGAGGGTATTCATTGGAAAGTGGGACCGGGCACGATCGATCCAGCACGATGGCCATCTTAAGTAACACAAATGGTCAGTTTTCAAAGAGGAATGATTTAGTAGTGCCTAAATGTTGTCAGTTGGATCTTAATAGTCGCGAAAATGCTCAGTTTGGGCTTTTATTTTATCCCACGTTCCCAAATGCATCATCTGCACATTGTTGTTACAAGCAGTAAACACGACGGACTCAAGTTTGTATCGCGGCAATGAATCATAGAGAACGAATGCCCGGGACATTAGTTATTAAAGAGGCCTTATTTGTAGTAATAAGACAATTAATTAAAAACAAGTTTTGTTGTGTGTATTCAAATCGTAAAATTTTATTTAGAATAACACAGGGTTTACGACCGCTAATAAATGCCGTGTATTCCGGCGGACTACTTCGTTCGAGATAAGCATCGCGCTGGATAAAAGGGAAACGTTCTACCGGGCATATTATGATACTGCTATCGGATGTGAGGTCTGATTTCGAGTTTATGCAATTTTCAAAAACAAATAAGTTCATTGTTAGAATTCGGGTTTACATCACAGTCACTTTCGATGGAATAAGGGTACAATATTGTTATCGCCATCGTCATCATGTTTCGCGAAAATCTTTACAGTCGAATATTTTGTGTTGAACAAAACGCATCGACAACACCCCAGCCTGAGAACGATCGGTTGCCCATTAAATTAGAAAGCATCTTATCTATCTGCAATTATGTTTAATCAAAATCACCAGCAATTTTACCATAGAATCAATAGAACTGTTTGTTTAAACGCTTCTTGAAATTCCGCCACCACACTAAAGATCCCTCGCAAAAAAGTATCTTCCGAATTATTTACCGGATATCACTATCCCTGTCTGAAACAACGACCGAGCAATGTGAGTTTGAGTTTACATCAAAAAGTGACGTTTTGTTTTCTAAACAATCATCGTCAAATTTTCTGAAAATTAGTTGAAGAGGTTAACAATGGCGTCATGAAAAGTATGTTAATGTGAAAGTAACCTGTACACGTAACTAGGGTCTGGATAGGAGATTTGAGTACAAGCTAATATGTGTGGTGTGTATTAAGTTAAGTGGAGATCAAACTGGCGGGGCAAACTGTAGACTTCTGGAACAATGTAAAAGTCATTTGCTGATCAAACCGGCTTTGTTCAGCGTTGACACCGCCGTCAGTCGGAGTTCAAATACTACCAACAACATTCTGTACACCTCTTGTAGAGTGATCACCGGGGATATGCCAGTTTCGACATAGTTTTATACAACTTTTCATCGCCGCTTTCAGTATCAACGTGAATTGCCATGCCCGCCTATACATGAACTACGGTGGGGTATGGACACGTTTCGCGATTGCACGTTACACGTACACGGCTGATGCGTGCATTTTTACTATTACACGTTAACTGTCCCGTCCGTAAAACACAGAGAAATACACATTAATTTAAGACATTTCGGACTGAAAACGTTTTATTTTAAAATCCTGCATACTAACAGCAAAAAATCTGCCTTGATCCACAGATTGAAACGCACGAATACAAGGACAAGGCGTTATATTTACCAACTGACGACTACAGCTCGCATGGTACATGTTTCTATCAACTAACGCTAAACCTAAAACTAACCTAAAACGGAAACAGAGTTAAATACTACTTCATTTCGCGATAAAGTCCCCAACCACACTTAAAAATACGTCATTAGTCAGTTATTTTTTATCAGAAACATTTTTTTCTGAGAGCGCAAACTTAAAGTTAATACATAGTGGTATTTTTGTGTCACAATGCATTTCGCCTAAAATTACCTTAATACATATTTCGAATACAGCCAATGGGAAATGCTAGAAATGCACCACACATCTGACGGAATTTCTTTCACAATGACTCCATTCACCGGGCTAGTTTACGTACTTCAGTTAGGGACGGTCACGTGGAAATCTCTACTCGTCAAGTTGTAAGCCCAACGCATTTGCAGTCGATAAAATTGGTTTGTTTTGGACGCCAGTGGAATGTCTGTTTTATTATTATATATTTTTATGATTTGTAAATATAAGAATATGTGCGGGCGAAGATGGCAGTAATAAATTCACGTGTTGTATCTGCCATGTGCAAACTTTTTGTCATTTTAATGGATTGCTACAGTATCTTCGTTAGCAACAGCCTTAACATTTATTATATGTGATCGTAAACATTCATGTAAATGCGAGAGTAATCATCCACTAAGCTTTGATATTGATCGTCTTGCCGATATTCGACTCCTTCCATGGGTGAATTACCGATGTGTTTTTCTCCGTATCGCCATCTTTTGTTGTGGTATTTTTTTAAGGAACTCTCCCACATAATCCCGAGCTGGTTTCGGCGTGCCGCGTACGAAGCACGTTGATAAAGTGAAGGTGAACCACAACCGCTGGAAACGTTGCGTTTCGGCATTCTCACAGATCGCCGAGCAATTTCCAGTTTTGCCGGTTTCGTAATAATATCGCAATAAAATCGTTAACTGGGCGGTAATGGAGGGTTGGGTGTTATATATATCACGTGTGAGACATTGAAACTAGAGTAAACGGAAGGAGGGATAACACGGCAATAAAATAAAGCTAAACCTTGGCTATAACAACAACACACACCGATAATCAATTGACCGTTCTGCAACGCTGCGAGCTCGACCCTCAGAGAACTCAGCCCTGGGACACTAGGTCAACGATCAATTTTGTTGATGTTGAACTCAGACGACGAATGTTTTTTAAAATGGCAAATGGTAAACTGAAGTAGTCTGAATCGACATCTAAAACAAAATAAATCTATTTGCCATACAACTTGATTGGCGGTGTACGTCTCACAAGTGTGTTGCACGGAAAACAATCGTACTCACCTCCCGCTTTTTGTAACGATCATCTCCGTCCCAAGTACGTGGAATTCGTCCCACAGTCCTTTCATTTCCAACTGAACTTCCACATATCGGACCTTATCACTGAGAGGCCGGGTGTCAACTTTAGCTTTCAAAGCAACAACATCGCTCTTGGTTTCGTCGTTTTCTCCTTTGATGATGTCCACGCCGTTCCTGTCGCGAGCCGTTCCGTCCTCACCGTTCACGGGGCTGCAGACTGATTTTTCGGACGACGCCTCGGAGAAATTGTCTCCGTTGTCGGAACCACTGTTGCGATCTGTTGGAACGAAATACATGTCAATCCTGAGCGGAAATAGTTACTTTAAGCGTGGGGTTGGAGATCTTGCGTGGTTCCCACCGACTATGTACGCCAACACTCGTTTCCTATTCACGCCAAGGCGATTCTCAAACCGACACATTTTTTTTTTCAAAACTGGCTCCGGCTGATGTTATTAGAAATTATGCATTTAGCTGCAACATTACTAAATTCAACCTCCTACCGAAGCTGAGGGGGTCAATAGCAGCCACAATGACCCCTTAATATGTAATATATGCCGCGAAGTCTGACATGCCATACATCCGTCCAAGATGAAATATGGTACACACTGTAAAACAATACACGAATCAAATCGACCGTGCTAGGGTTTTCACAGAATTTACAAAACTGTTCCGTTTTACCAAGACAACAAAAATATACGCATGATTCTAAATAAAGTCGTATAAGACCCGTATTTACATATGCCAAAACATGGTCTGATGCCCGGGTGAGGACTAAACGGGCGGTCGCAATTTGATGGGTTTTGTTTTGGTTCTCGTTCCAACCATGACTCACTTGAAGTCATATGGCATTCGTATCGACTGTTTTGTAGACACATCGGCGACGAGAGAAACGATATTACAAGGCCAAAATTATCTCAACGCTACACTTGCCGAAATATTGTAGTAAATAACGTACACGTGTCAACTAGGATTGCAGGGGATTATGCTGACTACACGGGTCAGATGGCGTTGTCGAAACGCCAATGTTTTTATATGTCTTTCTACGGATCTCTTGAGTTGACAATAAGCCCTACACTTACACGAAACAACAGCCCACAGAGTTGAATTATATATTACCAACCTTCCATGTCTTTGACGCTTAATACCGGTGTAGGAGTTCCCCAGGAGTCGACCGAATCGTCGCTGATTGATCCGAGTGATTTGCCAGTACCGTTATTACAGGGAGACAAGTCGGTGAGTTCCCGCTGCTGTGCAGACGGCGAGATCAGTGATGCGATGCTGAACGCGTTGGCTCTAGGTGATAGGGGATTCTGTGGATCCAAGCTAGGTAGGTCCATACCGTAACCCAACCAAAAGAGGTTTGGAGAGAAGAAAACACCCGGCAGTCTACTTGAGTACGGAAATTCTCAATGACCGAGTCTCAACGTAATGACCGCCTCAAGTGGGTCTTTACACTGAAGAACAACTCGCAATGATGGGCTATATAACGGTTACAAGAACAGCCAATGCAAACACCAAGCTTGCCAAACAAAACACCTTTTAGCTATTGTGTTCGGCGGATACAAAGTGATTTCTTGCCATCGTATTGTATGCAGAAAAGGGGGATATATAAGCAAAACAAGAGGCGAGATTTCGGAGGTATATAGGAGTATTCTCCGCTCAGCAAACAGTGCCGGTGTGTTGTGATTGGTGGAAGAGGGGGCTTGCCGTGGATTGGTTACTAATAGCGTATGTCAATCAGCATTTGATTGGTTATCCATCACTTTATACATTTGACATTAATAACGTACGATAACTCGCGCGCCACGCCAACCAATCATGAACGCCCTTACAACTCAAGTTCATAATCTAAAAGTCCAGACGGGTGGTCGTGATTAACTTTCAACATGATTTGGCAATGTGGTGGACAGGCACAGTCCAGTGCGTGTTTATTCGCGTCTATTCTCGGCTGGCTCCGACAACTGCAAGAAGACGACGAAAACCACTATGCGACGTATCGGTGGAAGTGACTTTATTCGATTCAGCGACGTCTGTTACCCAGAGACGGTTGTCCGTCGGTCGAGCACGCGCGTTCAAGCTTCGGTCTGGGATCCCTCTGCAATATAGTATACGATAAAAATAGTAACGGTCCTCATTCAAGAGATTAAACAAAAATACAGACGACTTGAAAAACGACTTTGGGTAATGGATAACCAGCCGTGTGGTGACAGCAAACAAGATGAATGATGGCAGTGGGCTGGATTGGTATCGCTAATGTAAAAACAGAAATGGCGAGGGAAATTTCAAACTGTAGATTAGTATAGATGAATAAATTCTATTGTGTGCACTGAGAACATCAATTTGCACATTTACAGGGAAATCCCGCTGACTTGTCCCTTTTTATTTTCGTAATAAATACTTTTCGATTCAGAAGATAAGAACGCCGAACTCGCATTTCGAAACAAAGATGACGATAACAAATGTTATTAGTTCGATTTCTGTCGACATTTTTTGGGGGGGCGGATGTTGGGATGTTTCAATTATGTATTTGTATCAAAGCATTTCACCAAGCGTGGAGAATAAAATATCTGACTTGCAGACGAATTTATTGGCTTGTACGTGATGGGAACATGCAGTCAGGCAAATCGAACACTTATCAGTGCATACTGAACGCGGTATGTCGGAAGCCTCGGTTTTATCAGGCACGGCATTATATAGCATACTTCGCATAAGATGGGCGGTGGTGGGGTGTCCTCATCCGGAGATTTTCTTTCCCACCAATAAATTTTCTCGCGTTCCTTTTTGAGATCCATACATCGTTTCGATTTTCTCTAGTGAGGTTATGTCCCAAACAAAATAAAGTGCTGTATTTTAAGAACAGAGCAAGTCCTATCTTGACACTATTCGGGTCAATACAGAGAACGGTATAAGCCTAAAGATCATATGTTCGCGATACTAGTATTTTGAATGTGCATTTATAAAGCAGGGAAATTAACAAGCCCGTTTTTTTTTTCAAAGTGAAGCAGCTACTTTCAGAGCTGCGCACGAAAAACTCGTGAATCATCTCCACTGCATCGCGTTATCGTCTCCGCGGCGTGTTAGATCCTTTTCCCCGACAGAAGTCATCGACAACAGCAGATTGGTTGCAAGGGCATCGGCTTTCACGCCCCGGTGATAAGACTGGTTAAAAACTGCGAACTTCTCAATGAGGCAATAAACAAAAATACAGGGGGAATCACAACAAATGTTGACTGTGGTTCTGGCATAAACAAAAATAAAAAATCATAGATGTGGTAAATTTTCTAAATTCGTGTTTACCAGCAGTAGGTTTCACTCCCGCATACGATTCGTCAGGTACATGGTAATGTTTAAATTCTAAAATACGACATCGTTATTGCAAGTGCATAACTTGAGATGCGGACACACTGACGTACGTGTGCTATCATCGTAACCCCGAGAATAGAGATTACCGAAGATTACCGAAGACATTAAGAGGAAAGCCGTGAAACCATATGCTACATGCGCCAAAGAACCAACGATAATGGAGCTATTTACACCCAATCAAATCAAGTACGGTTTAAGGATAGATAGATTTACAACCTTTGCTGTATACATTCTACATACAGCAGCGCCCGGCGTAAAAAGGGCATAGAATTCAAGCCGCTGGTCTGAAAGGTATGCCACGTAATGATTTCGTTTCAATTTTTCTCCAGTCGGTCTTTTGTAGGGCGTCAGCCAAGCGAGGTGGAATGCCTCCGTGGTGTAGTTAGGGGTAGCTTTACACTACTCAATCGGCCACCACTGTGAACATCGCCTTTCCTGCGGCAAATACTGATTTACCGATTTCTTACGTTGGAAGAAAGATGAAAGCCTCCCGCGTGTAGATCAATCTCTTTCCACTACCGTCCTTCCGACGGACACAGTAGCGATTCTGATAGTCGTGTGTCATCACGCCGTACAAACAGGCAACTGATGAAACTCAGAGATAAACAAGTTTTAAAGAAGTGGTTGAGCTATCATCTAAAATGGAGATTTTGTTTTTGCATTGGTGCGTGATTCATTATGCATTCATCCAAACAAACTTAAAATCGTATTTATTGTTTTTTATTTATTTTTTTTTGAAAATTACAAAATATGCAAGTTATGAACAAATTCTTCATAGATTGCTTATAACAACGTGATTGCCTCTCTCGAGTATGCTGTTCCGGACAACTTAGGCGAACTGAAGGGTTGTTATTTTTGGACAAAGTATCGAATAAAGTCATTACTCAGCCAAGCAAAAAGAAACACAAATACGTCTACCACTTAAGAAGGCAAAACTTGTTTACCTCCCCGTAGCCAACAATGCTCGATAAGTGAGATTTTTCGGTGAAAACAACAACTGTACGCAACTGGCAACTTCTCACCATGGCCCAAGTTGAATGGTGGTAGAATTGTCCATGTGCCAACCAGGACCTCACACGGACATGCACTGGCGTAATTTTGTCCGCACTCGTGCGTTTCTTTTTGGCACGGCAGCATATCTCGCGGTATATTTATGACATGGCGCGAGAGGCAGGTAGCCAGCGGCGATATGGTATCATCCTGCGTGACGCCAAGTCACACGCAGACCGCATTGACATGAGCGATGAGCCGCGATGAGCTCTCAAAACAATTGTCTTGTATCTATAGTTTGATTTCTAAACTTTTTCATATTTACCATTTTCTGCTAAAACAAGTCGATGCGGCATACCCGTATCACGCGATTATATAGAACGCGTGTAAACTACCCGAACTTAGAACGTATTAAGTATTTAGATGATGATATCATAGATTAAGAGATAATCCATTATAATACAAGTGATTAATGTAATTGATCTGACTTAGGGGTGTATATGTACTTGAAAAAACAAAACACTCGAAAGACAATATAAAATAATTATCAATATAACAATATCAACGTTATAAATATAATTTTCCGTTTTCTGATCAGTTGAATCTGAGATACAACTTTAACATATCCCGCGTATGAACAAATAATTTAACTATTAAGCGCTTTCGACTCCCAAAATTACGGCCAAACATATTACGCCCACACTTCAACATTATAGGTTTTATTTTTAACTGGTGTTAATAATAATAATATAATATAATAAAATATAATTTGAAAATGTAATTATATTACATGACAGTGCTTGTCACGTGATTGCCCTCAACGAATCATGTCCTCTCTTGAAGATTGTACCTGCACATTGATGTCTTTATACTGACTACTGTCCGTTATTACTTTTTTGCAGCGTATTACATCATGATGGCATTCGGCAAGTTTGGACGAATTAACCACTCACCCATAAAACACGATGCGTAGAACGAGGCATGTACTTCCGGTTTCGGACTTTCGAGCCCTCGTTCAAAGCTTCCGCCATGGTAGGAAACACATCCAGGCTTGTTCGCCAGTTATGAGTATTTTATTCGGAAATAGTTTTGTTGTTTTCATTTTCAATCTCACAATCATACTTCAACTATGACGTCAGCTGACATGCGCAAGACTTGGTCTCCGTAGATTGCCGAAGTATCCGAGTCCTCCGATGACATTTGAGCTGATTATTTTGTTGTAATAAGTCACGTATACTGTGGAATACTTTATTTTCGCTGGAATTAATTTTCACTGAAAAGGCTTTTTGGGCTTTTTTGTATGGAACTTATTTTCACTGATTTTTGATGAATTTAATGTGAAATATAGGAAAAAAAAGTATATTCGCTGGATTTTATTTTCACGGAATCATCCATTCAGCGAAAACAGCGAAAATAAATTCCAAGCGAAAATAAAGTATTCTACAGTAAAATGTTTTTATTTTTTGCGTATGAATTGTAATTGTTCTTTCAAATACTATTTCTTAACCCTTACCTGCAATGAGAAGTATGTCAAGATTTTGGGAATGTAATAATAACTGGCCGGAGCTTTCAGTTTTGTTTTACTGTGATAAAAACGGCATAAACTACCTGTTTTGTTTTCCGATGGCACAGTCAACCTAATTTGTTTCATCTTTGGACGGGAACTCGTCATCTTTCTACGACTTCCTTCCTTCAAAAGACATTATCACTTCGCGAGAGTCTATCCCAACACCGGGGGTCAAATCGGACCCCCTAGTGACATAGAACATTTTCACACAACCCGTCGTTACACGTTGTTTATTTGACAAGCAAGCGATGTCTGACAGACTCGAGGAAGCGACCAGCAAAACCTAGACCAGGGGACTAAACAGATCTGATCAAGTTGCACACGATATAAAAGACGGAGAAGAGGAGAAAATGCGACGAATACTTCTATATTCAACAGAATTCGTCGTGTGTGGGACCATGCCAACATAGACGGGGA